TTTGTAGTTTGTCATTTCTCCGATCACAAATGCAGACATGGTTTTATGTTGTACGAGGCGCGATGCAATGCAACGCGTAAAAAAGACAGTAAAAGTCATTATAATCCGTAATTATGTCCCCACTGGATGCAACAAATGCCTCGTTTGACATGGTTTTATGTTGTACGAGGCGCGATGCAATGCAACGCGGAAAAAGACAGTAAAAGTCATTATAAGCCGTAATTATGTCCCCACTGGATGCAACAAATGCCTCGTTTATAATGGGTAGAGTATTTATAGCCTATGTATTCCTTGTAGTTCTTTACAATGTATACTCTTGTACTTAATTTACATACTATGCTCTTTCGTTCTTTGAAAATATTAAATAAATAATAAATAGCTTTACATAATAATAAATAAATAGCTTTAACATACAGTCTATTAGAATATTCAACACACATCCACCCAAATAAAATGTAGTGATTAAATATGACATTTTTAGTAATATCATGAAACATTTTAGCAAGGTTTAAATACATTTTTGGTTCTTTTCGGTATTTTATCCATGTTATGTAACAAGCTCATAGTGACATACAGCCGTTTGAGCCAATCACATCATTCAGTCCGTTACAACGCACCAATCAGATCGCAGCACTGACTGGGCGTCTCACCTGAGCAGGTGAACAAAGATTCTCTTCATTGCGTGAATATAACGGCTTTACGGTTTGACAGCTGAAGATGAATTTGAATTGATTAATATCCCTAATAGCATTAATAAACCCTCAGTAAAACATTTGCAACAACCCCCAAAACAAAACATGTTAGTGAGTGGCGTCTAAATAATCGTAGGCTACTATTTTCACCAACATATTTATAAACAAACCAGATCAATGCTCTCGTAATCCCATAAAACGGATTAAAGCCCAAAAGCACAGGCAATTAATATCAACAAGCCACAATAAAATAAAGTACAAACCACAAACATATTGTAAAACGGCTAATCTGTTCACGAAATCACGCAGATGCACAAGAAACTAACAAAACAAGCTCACCTTTTGCAGTCAGACGTATACTGTGTCGCTTCTCTGTCACTCTTTGGTATATGAGCACAATTCACCTGTTCCAGCAAGTGCAGGAAAGTAAATATGACATCGCGACGCCAAAATGTGCCAGAGAGCTGAGGTGAGGTATTAAACCCTGAAGAAGAAGAAGAAGAAAACAATGTTCCCTTTGTATTCCAGGCAAACAAACCTTCAAAAAGCTTCAGGGATAGTCGAGGGCCAACACTCGGCGAGTTGTGATAGCGCGCGCCAGTGATGATGATGATGATGATGTGATCAAACTCTCAGTTTCTCTCTCGCGCGCGCGCACGCACGCACGTCCCTCTCGCGCTGTCATTCTCGGCAGCGCGCCTGCTTTCACTACCTGGGAAAAAACAAACTGAGGGAGAAAAAAAGGTATCATTAGTTGCACCTTAGTGAGCTATTTATGGTGGATATTAAGTATTTTGTCAGCTTCATCTGTCTGTCCACACAGCACATTACTAACTTTACTACCCAGGGCTGCGTTTCCCAAAAGCATCGTAAGCTTGAGTACACCGTACACCCCTTGAAACCAGTGGAGCTACGCTCAATTTAAGCTCACGAAGCTTTTGGGAAACGCAGCGCTGGAAATTTGAGGCCTCAGTGGCTTTGCCCAGCACCAGCCTACACAGGTGAAGCTGACAATGGCTTCGTTTCTTTTTCTGTGCTAACTTCTGGGTCTGAACAGAGATGAAAAGCCAATCTGAGCTTTAAAAAGAATCGAGGCAAAACGAAGACTCGCATTGAATCTTCTCTTGCTTATATGCTGCCCATTTAAAATAAGCCCAAACTCTTGTTATGCTCAAAACATATTACTTGTTTGTCGCTGTAATGTTACAAACCTAAATTGATATTACAAATTGATATTTATGTTATCTACGTTTCACATTTGCAAGCAGAAAAGTAACAGGTTCAAAACTTAATTCTGTGGGAATTATATTTCTAAAAGTGTGTGTACATTGCCACCTAGTGGCAAATCATATAAACATTGCCTATTCATCTCATTCACCGGTCACGTTTTCTTCAGATGAATCTAGCTAGTTTATTTGATATTTTTCCACATGTACTGTACAACATTTTCTTCTTCTTCTGAAATCCCCATGTTTTTTATTCCAGCACTGACAAAACCCCATGTGAGCAACGTGGGTAAGATATCTTGCTCACATCTTGATCCCCTTTTGCTCTCCCTTTACAGCCTTTTATTTATTTATGTATTTATCTGAATACAGCTAAATATGCTGTATTATACATGGTCCATTCTACAGCATTAGTGATCAATTTTTTGCCTTTATAAAGAAATATTGGATTCAAAATACAACAAATCTCATAAATTACACTTGAAATATTGTTAAAAATGTAATTGTAATGGATTTAGCTCTGAAAAAGTTTTAATAAAATAGCAAAGAAATATATTTTCAATGTAGATGTAAATAGGCCAATAAAACCCTTCTAATTAAATTATTATTACCATGTTTCAGTATAGTGACAAATATTTCAAAACTTTCTGAAAAAACAATATGAGAATTAACTGCACAATTACTTGAAATGTGTACTTTGGATATTATATAATTTGCATACATACACATTTTTTTCAAGACGTTTCCAACTCTGACATGGACCAATTCTGTAGATTTGTATTGTATATAGAGGGCGTTGTCCATTTCTGTTACAATTATGATATACTGGAGGTAGTGCTAGCAAGACTCATTGTTTGTTTTCCTGTCTGGTGTGCTGTTGGAGTGTGAGGTGTGAATGTGTTCTGCTCACATAACAGGATACTGTAGTTATTGCACAGTGTGTTTTCTTTCCTTTTTTGACAACAAGAAGGAAAGGAAGAAAAAAAGTAAAAGAAACCTCAGCACGTATCACAACTGATATTATAAGCTTGAATTTTGAATGTTTCCAACATTGAAATGCAACAGAGCTTCAAGTTTGAGTGCTTTTATTTTTAAGGACTCCAGATACATAAATAGATCCTCATAGACATTTAATTTCCAAGTATGATCAAGATGCAAAAACAATTTATCAGTTGTCAGTGCACATATTTAATAACACAAACAAAGGAAAGCTTGTGTGTCACAATGTAAACCACGAACAACAATGCAACCACAGGAAGTATCATGCAAGTGCCACATGCCATTTTGTGGGGATTTCTGTTCTGAAGTTATCCTCTTACACCACATCACACAGAAACATGTTTAGTGTGCAAGTTTAAGTCATATTTCACAAATGAAATATCACTTCATGGCAAAATACAGTATATCACATTACATAATTGATGAAGCAGGTAGGCAGTTCATTAATTTATCTGCCGTATTTAAAACCATTTAAGTCAACATGAAATCACTTGTTTCAACCCCATTTATTTTCTTAATACATTCTTGGTCTTAATGTGCATGATTTAGTGCACATTAATTAAAAGTAAAGTAAAAAAACAAAAAGTCTTAATCTTAGTGATTTGAGTAAGAGTGCCATCTGTCATCCTTGCTTATGGGAACCACAGACATTTTTCAGCCAGTTTAGTTAGAAAACATTGCTACTTTTAGTTTCACACTAACCAGCCAAATTTTAACCTCTTGAAACTGACAGCAAACTCTGGCATAAAACTCCTATATTTCATAATCCAATCAATTCCAAAAGTATTTTTCAAGGTTTATTGACTTATTAAAAAATATTGGAGTACGTTTAACAAGAAAATACTATTTCAGTCTTTCCACTTCTAAATTGCATGTTTTATTCAGTGTATTATTTGCCATTTCTTTGTAATTATCTGTAAAATTTACTAGCAATTTCTGCGTGAAAATCGTGAGTAAACCCTCCACCAAATTTTTTTTTTCAGTGTACAGGGTTATGAATGTCATTTCATGTTAACCTTAACAGATTTAATGTAGGTAAAGCTGCAAAATGCATGCATAGCTAGGACAAAACAATCTTCTGCAGCTGCAGCACAAGGCTAAGCAAATCTAAAGCTAACCTCAAACAGAGCAGGTTATTTATTGTCTTAAATATTCAGACTCTTTCTTGTGCTGTCAGCCGTCTGCTCGTATTAAGGCTTTAACGATAGATGTGCTTTCTTCTCAGGCATCTGTGTTTGTGATGCAGCGGGGGACTTTTTTCAAAGGGACAACATCTGATAACATCTGCAGGGCCAGAGGCTCCCTCTCATGATTGAGAAGAGAGAGAGAGAGATCAAGAAAGAAGAAAGGAAAGAGACACAGGATGCAACACTGGGTGCTGAGAAACACAAGTGAACTAAAAGGACAAGTGAAGAGTTCATAACCAAAGCTCCAGATAATAAGTGAGTTAGTGTTTTTTTTTTCTTTTTTCAGACCAAAAGTTAAAAAATGTTCCTCTCTAATTCACCAGATTAATTAAATCAAAGCTTTCAATGTACCTTTTAGTCAGATGCGTACTTCATTAAATCATTAGTCATAAAAAGGTCTTCTAAACACATTTAATTATCATTTGTACAGTCAAGGACTAATATAATCGATTCTCGCAGACTCTCTTCCATCAGATTTATTCAGATTAAACTCGACAGGAAAATCGACGCACGTGCTTTTAAAGTTAAAAAAAGAAAAAAAAAATGTCATTGCATTTAGATTGAGCTGAAGCTGAAGATCTGAATCTGTTCTCTTTAAGTACATGCTGGCAAGTGCTGCACAATATCTGATCAGATGACAAATTACAGAGTAATTACAGCACATCTCTGGTGATCCTGGTGAATTCTAGCAAATGGAAATTGTTACTGTTGCTGCATGGGTGCACAGAAGCTCAAGGCTGGCTTTGTTCAGCAGAGCCTGAGCTCCTCAGATGGGTCTGTTTGTACAGTGGTGTCTTCACTCGTTGTGTTCCCACGTCGAAGCCCCTTTTAAAGCCTCATCCAGTCGCCATGCACTGAAAATAAACCGCTAAGCTAGCGTCTGCAGTTTGCACACTGGGGTTAAAAAGGTCAACCATATTGCTCTGCTTCACTGGATGGGCTCTGAAAGGGTTTAATTTAGTCATGCAACATAACCTACAGCTGCAAGAAAGGTCTTGATCAGAAGATTATGAACTTTATGGAATAATGACGTAAGTTTGATAAAAATAAAATAAAATACTAATTACATTCAAATGGAAAATGATGTAGTGTTGCATTAAGATGTCTTGGGTAGATTTCAGATGGCTTCAAATCTACCAATAAAAATATTTTATAGTCTGGAATGATAGATCATAAATTAATGAGACAAGTCTGTTAATGAAACACTATTGTATGTGTTTAAAGAACTTCATTCATCTGCAATATCAGCAACATTTATAAAAACACTAAATACATGACACATTCTTACAATATTAAAATACAACAATTAAATGGAATAGTTTACTCAAAAAAAAAAAAGTCATAATTTACTCATCCGTATGTTATTCCAAAACTCGTCCTGTTTTTGATGTGACATGACCATCATCATAGATGTCAAAACTTATGTATCAGTGTCATATTTGAATGAATGCAAATTTAAAGAAACATATGGCTTTTCATATAATGAATTGAATTTCAGCCTCACACAAATTTCTCACACAAAGCTATCTAATGGCTTTAAAACACATTGATAATCTTTTACAATATGCAACAGTTTTACAATACTTTTATGCGGCTTTTTTGTCACTGTGGTGCTTGATAGTATACATCACCATTTACTTTCCTTATATAGAAAAGTGTGTTCCACCAACCTGTGTTTCACAGAAGAAAGTAAGTCTTACAGGTTTGGACCGACACAAAGGTGTATAAATGATGACGGAATATTCATGTTTCAACCTATTCCTTAAAAGGATAGCCATTTATGGAAAATTACAAGACATGAGCCAAATATCTTTGTTTCATAAATACTGTAGTATGATTTCTTATCCCCGCAGAGGCCAGGACAATAAATAACACAGATATGCAGATCAGTGCAAAAGACAAGTAAGCTTTGCAGAACAAAATACAATCTTTTTTGGAATGGTTATGTCTTGATAGCCATGATGTCCTGCAAAGCTTACTTGTCTTATCAGCAAGACAACGTTAATATTATTGGGCTTTTGTTTAATGACCGTAAACGGTGATCTCTCAGGTCACTAATCAGAGGTCAGATAAAACAGCATTCAGATTAACAGTACCTGTGGTGCACATTAGCATGAATAGATGCTAGACTGATCATTATGAGGATATTTTATTATGTGGGAAACAAGGCAGT